TATGAGCGAGTGATGATATCAAAAAGGAATATTAGATGGCCTTTGCATGACGAAGAAAGAGAGGCGGTTCAGTGGCAGCACCTATCGGTTAGCGGGCCGACTCCCAGTGTGTATTTGCTCCTGTTAGCTTTTCAAGGCAAAGCGCACTGCTTCTTCCGCGAGGTCTCGCTTCCAACGCGACCTCCTCTATATCCGATCTCAATATCACCAGCTCCCGAATCTGCCGGGATCGGGCAGCCCATTGGGTTAGCGCTCGGCCGTTCTCAAAAAATTGACTAGTTGGTTGGTTAGTTTGTTGTGTCTTTCATGTTTCTTTCTTCGGATGGTGGAGGGGAGATTTCGCGTGCCCTCCCGCCGGAGTCTGTGTCGATGGGCAGATCTGTGTTAGAAGGTTCGAAGATTCTTCGGATGCGCGATATAAAGTGCCTTGTTAATAGGGATCTCGCTCGACCTTTGACGATTGCGGGGTTGGGGGGGGAGGGAGGGTTCTTTGTGCTCAAATTCAGTGGCGGCCCACGAACATCTACACGTGTTGATTCCTCTCATCGCCAGAGCTTCCGTTTTTTTTTTCCTCACTTCACTCACGTGCAAAACTAACACGCACAAAAAGCTTCCATAAGTTATGTATGTACATACATACAAAACTTCGGACCCTGTTTCGCGTCATAAATCCCGGGGCCTGATTGCTTCTCTCCAGTCAAGAAGGGAAGGAAGGGAAGGAAGGAAGGAAGGGTGAACCCTGTGACGCTGACATTCGCCGAACTTTTTGTTGTGTAAGCTATAGGTAGGTAAAGTAATCTTATGTACCCGTGCCGGGAGATCCGATGCCGATTGCGAAAGCTCCCGCGCTTGGGGGGGCTTCGGATGGGGTCCTGTTTTTTTTTTTCCCTCTCTCCTCCTCTGATCACAGGAGCTTCTCTCCGGCTCGGAGTATCGACCGCGTTCGCGAAATAGGCGACGTCGGGCTCCAGAGTGGTCCTGCAAAGCCTTCCACACCGGGGTACCCATCCGTAGCGTAGCGTATCGTTTCTTTCTTTCTTTCTTCTATCTATACCTCAATCATGTTTTTTTTGGGGAGGGAACGGACATCAGTTACAGTTGGAACATGCCGAATCGACCTGGGCCCGGCGTTTATCATGGCTTCTCCAGAGAACTGATTCCTAAAAACCCGTCAGCGTGTTGGGACGTCGACGACGCTGCCTCCTTCTAAAGTTTCCGGTCAATTAGCTCGTATGTATGTATATGTTCACGCAGGCTGATCACTGGGTGTGTCCTCGTGACCGCACGTTGCCGGCTGCCGCGGCACTACAGCGGCACCAATAATCGTCCCTTCCGTCTTGCAGTCATGCAACCGTATCTGCCGCAGGAGCTTATCGACGAGATTATCGATCGCATGCAGGATGATTTCCGGGCACTCAGAGCATGTTCTTTGGCTGCTCGTTCGTTCCTGCCGTCCAGTCGCAAGCACCTGTACTCCCACGTCATAATCTTCCAGTCGGGCGTCGACGCGCCGTTGCCTAACAGTTTTGCTGGGAGCAAGTTTACTTGCGAGTCGTTTTGCGGTTTGCTGCAGGGTGGGATCACCCCTGTTGCGCCTCTTGTCAGGTTCCTGAGCATACAGGACGGCTTGGAGGGAACCCCAGGCTACCTAGTTCACAGGGAGAAAGATAGATTCCCTTTCATTCTTGATTTACTCCGGAATCTGGAGCGTGTATCTATTTCCAGTCATCGGGGCTCTCTATCTTGGGATGCACACGAGACTCCTATCGCATCTTTCCTCGAGACATTTCAATCTCCTTCACTAACCTCTCTTGATCTCGATAATCTCACTTTCTGCGGGTTTGATGGTATTGCGCGTATTCTATACGAATGCAGCGACACGCTCAAGCATTTATCCCTCAACTACATCACGATATTTTCGAGGGATGTGGATATCCACAATCTTACGGACAAATATGATGGTCGTCATCTCCATCTTGAGTCGCTTCGACTCGTGGAAGATGACCTGGGTCTCGTAGCCAAGTTTATACTGCACGAGTCCTCTCCATTGAGGATAGATTGCCTTCGCGAGCTTTCGATCTCCTCGAACCGGCATAACTCCTTCGTGGGGCTCGTTGCCGGTACGCGTGATACACTCGAGCATCTTGATTTTTTCGTGAACCACAACGGTACGCCCCCCAGATCCCCTCCCCTCCCCATGCCAATATTTTGGGGCTAACGCTGAAACAGGGGATATCACCACGCCCTTGTTCATGGAGGCCCACAAGCGTCTGAAGAGCGTATACGTAGGCGTGGGCAACCATGTGACGAACCTGGCCTGGATAGACTCTATCCCGCTCACGCCCACGATCGAGACGCTCACGCTCGAACTGGTGAACCCCGATGTGTCTGACAAGGCGTTACTATGGGCGCAGCTGGACGCCCGCACATCGGGGGCCTCCTTACGCGAGGTGCACGTAAACCTGCACGGTCTGAGCCGTCCGAGCCGCAACCCCCACTCGTGCGAGCCGTATACATGTCGCGACTATGTGGCGTGTGCCGATGGATCTGCCATCCTGGCGCTGGTGGAGGACCGGTTGCCCACCCTACGAAGTAAAGTCCGGCTGACGGTCCAGGAAGTACCGCGTGTGTGTCATTTTTTTTTCTCTCCCCCCCCCCCCCTCCTCTGCGGTCCGGAGCGTGAGGCTGAGTTCTTAATTTATCAGAGCGAAGACTGCAAGCTGGAGGTATGTGGTCTCGGCATCTGGCGTTCGTCTGACGGGAAGTGCCCCACAAAGCTCGCCGAGTGTATTCTAGGATGTAAATTAGGCCGTGTGAGGGTTGGAGGGGATTTGAATACTGTTCCCGATGTATATATTTCCATACTTGGTGATACTACGAGCGTTCGTATAGCGGCTGTTCTCCCGCGGGGTCGCGCAGGTCGCTGTGTCTCTTACAGGTAAACTAGTCTGCGTAACTGGGCGCGACGGCCTCCTGGTGGATCAAAGATGCTTGGACGCGTGAAATGCCAGTTGGGCTGATAGTAATTATTATGCATTGAGCGCTCGGCGGAAACTGCTCTAAACCAGACCGAACTACATCAGTCGCACAGCCATCAACAGGGCGTCGCGAGGGACCATCATGGATAACCTCTCAAAGAATGATCTAGTGTGGGGAAAAGATCATTGTGATGCAGCTGGGAACGCATCATATTCTCCGTTATCACCGCCGGGTACCTCATCCACTGGCCAGTATACAGCCTAGCATATAAAGCACCATTCATTTCGGTAAAGTTGTGAAACGTGGGAACGTAGCTAGAAGCGCACCTGGCCATGCATATTTTGGATGAAGACCGCATGAAAACGATATTGATCGCATTCATCTGTCGAGCAAGTTGTCAAAGCATCTTACTCTGAACTGTTCGCGCACACTGTAAAATGAAACTGGAGAAGGGACCTGGCTTCTAGAAAGAAAAAAATTTCTGTGAGCCCGGGTGGGCGATCATGGTTGTTCACGATGATGGTCGCTTATGCGCCACCCATTCTCCGAGGGCTTTCTTTCCGAGAGCCTGGGCACGTTGCCAGACGACTGTGGACTTTCGGCATGGATATTCATACGTTTGTGAATTGAATTGCCTGTTGGAAGTTAGTTGTCACTAGTCGTTACCGCTTTAACGTACACTCTCAGGCAATCATGGTGCAAGTACCGAGGTCTGTAGACTCGAAATTTCAAGTATGTTGCTTTGCCACTGTTGAAGATACGGAAACAGACATCCGACTCGGACGAAACGACTAGGTGAGGGGTAAACTACAGATGCGTTATCTTTAACAGAGTTGCAATCAAGCACAAGGAAGCGTCGGCCAAACGGATGGTGGTGTCCTTTGACATAACGAATAAAAATACTCCCGCGTAGCTTTGTTCAGCTCTCACCTTCTTCAGGTAAACTGCGGCCACCCTTTCCGCGAAATACATTGCCAGTAGCCTGTGTTAAAGCCAATAGAGTTCTCGGTTTTCGATTATTGATGAAAATTTCCCAGCGCCGTGTGCCAGTGAAGCGTCCTCGCCCTCGCACAAGCGTTCATCAACCACTCGATCACACCAAGTCGATCACCGAAAGATGTTCCTTCCTTCCCTACATAGAACACACACCCATTGCCCCGCCGACGGTACCCGGGCCCGGGGCATTGTAAAAGAGATATATGTACACTTAATTATGAGGGTTTATGATCCCTGAGTGGTTCACTTACTCGTGTCGGGTGGAGCCCTGAGTGTGAACCGGTCTAGAACCTAAGCGCGGGAATGGTTCGAAAGCCGACTCGGAGCATCGAAAGAGTGGTGTTGCCGCTACGTAGTCGTGGATGAAATAAGGAAGAGATAAGCAGCACAAGCCTCACCAGGATCTCCTACTACTTGGTATGGAAGGACAGCAGCTGAATGCGTGTACCTGTAAATGAGAGCTATCAAATCGGACACTGAAGATGGAGATGATATTCAGTTCCTCAGAGGTCCAGAGCGATCTCTGGTATATTTCTTATTAGATATGACTGCAGATCTCGGGGTACCGGTGCGAATATCGAATATATAGCAGGCACCCCAGATTCGGCAATTCAGACCTCGCCTTGAATCTCAGCGCAAAGGTACGACTTAAACGTTTGCTAGTTACACATGCGCAGCACGCATGACATATGGACACGAAACAGCAATGAAGGATATGTACGTTTGTGGATAGTGATATTGGCCGTTTGAACAGTACAATCTCAATGACAGTGAATGAATGGTCTTGAACTTCTATTGCGGTTCTAACTTCTGCCTCGAAGCGCCAGAAGACAGAACAAACAAATGTATTGGTTGCGCTGCGCTTGTCCACGCTGTACCTCTACAAGCTAAGGGGCGAGCAGAAGCGCGGGAACGGGAGCTGTCCCAATAAAGTAGTATCGTAAACCAGACACAATTCAAGCCATTCAGAGCCTTGATGTGAACCTCGGAGGCCTGATGTACTCTTAATAGTATGCAATTCACATGGCTCAGTGGTCTAGTAGTATGATTCGCGCTTCGGGATGGTTAATCCAGTGCTTAATTAAGCATTCTGTGCGAGGTCTCGGGTTCAATTCCCGACTGAGCCCTTTTTTATTAGATGAGGATGTGTACCAATTCTTCTTCATTAAACGTTCATGATCGCGAACAGGACTAACTTAACCCAGCGGCCAGAAGATTTGCGTGAATGCGAATGTGTTTCTTTTTTCGGGACTTCCAACTTTGATTGCCAAATTAGGTCTCGGCCCGATCAGCTGCGACGGTCTTTGCCTATGCCATGTGCTAAAAGCGTTGAAAAGTTCTTGTACCCTGTATAGGGCATTACTCTGCTCCGTGCGCCTTCTGTTCCTCCGCTAAGCCGTTTTGTTTTACTGGTGAGTGTGTTGTTTATCTCTTGGGCTTCTTCGACACGCAGTTTTCTCACCGACGGGTATCCCAATACGATTCACGTACCCCAGCCAGGTTGTGACGCGTGCTTACAAGCACTATGTACTTATTTCCTTCGCATGCTTGGATGCACTATGGAATTATGTTCCTTGGAACTCTCTTGCACTATACACTGTGCGTCACTTGAATCCTCCCTGTGCTCACGTTCTCCTTCAACGCTTCATTCCTATGTATCAAGTTGTTGTGTAACTAGGAATACATGAGTTCAGCTCGCCATTTCACCTTGGACGTCTGCACGTAAACCAAGCGTAGCATGCCGATAGAAACTTTATATTTACGCCTGCACTGCGTTGCTTCATTCACGACTCACGGCATAATGACTTCTTGTCACCCTGCCGATCATTACCTTCTCCCGTCTGCGTTATGCCTTGGCTAAAATATTTCTCCGTGCCTCGTGTGTAGCCCGCCCGCCAGGAAATAGCATGTGCAAGCCGGCTCAGTTGCATCCGCACTTGGGGTCTGGGGCGGAGGGAGCACCTCCCGATTGAGGAGACGTTTCTTCCTTCTCTTTTTTCTTCATTTCCCAGGGTCCGGGTTAAGATAAAATGTGGCTGACGTCCCTTGGGAATATGCGAGTGCAACGTGCCCCTCCACTTCTCGGTTCGGGGGTACTCTGCAAGGAATAGCACTTTGCCTCCCATTTACGCAACCCATGTCCTATAGAGAGAGAACGTAACCGAGGGAATAGTGTGTTCGCTGTCATGATGATGAGATGCTCTAGACATGCAAATGCATTGATGTGGCGATGATTTTCGATCCATTCAATTATGCACTGCTTCCCTGGACTTCGCTTTATCATAATCACAAGATCTAGACACAACATAGTCGGCTGCATAAATTAGTTTCTCGGACTCAATCGTGGGTGTGATTGCCTACATCCTTTTTGGTAGGCTCCTGGTTTTTACCAATGGACCAATAGACAGACTGGGTTCGGTGGCTTGCTAATGCTTTAGAAGAGTTCGCCAATACATATCTGATCATCCGAGACGCCCACTTTACGCCGCAGCTGAGGTATGATACGATTTTGTGCACTGGTTATAAGACCACAGTGCTAAAGTGGTTGGTGTTCTATTACCAGTGAAATGATACGATCTGTCGAAGAAAAATAAAAATACCGCAGCTTGAGAAAACTGCGCATCTACTAACAGCCATATTCGAAAAAACAGTCAAGATAGATAACATGAGGAACTTCGAATGCGAAGAGCTGCCAGTAGAAGTGAGGCGTCGAAATTGCCACTTCTCGAGACCGTATCGCGAACAAACTCATGCACGTTTGAAATAACCAAAAAACGACATCAAAAATTGGGGTAACTTATCGTGTGTATCTGTACAAGGTGCGAATAAAGTAATGCTACATAGTCCCAGCTTTAAACAAATGCGAAAAGTATCAAAGTACTATAACGGCACCAACCAACGAGAACACCAGAGCAGTGCCCACGGAGTATATATATCTATCGCTTCCATCCAAAGATCGTACAATGGAGAAGGCGGCGGATGATTGTGTTGCGGTAGCTGAAACTTGTGCCTTCGCCGTTGTTGCGCTCGTGCTCGAAGGAGATGACTAAGGGAAGGATGTAAGCATTCTGGTTTCACTTCAAAAAGGTTCTCTTACCGATGATGTTATGGTCGACGATTTAGAAGTCGTCGTGGCGCCAGCTCCAAGAGCAGTGACTGTGGTGCACTTGGAGGATGCGGGAATTGGGTGGGGAGCGGGTGTGTTAGGCTGACCCTGCTGCCAGGTCGCTCCGTCGTACACACCCATAGGCAGACCACTGTCACCCTGGCACGATTCAAATACTCCAGAGCTGTAATTGGCGGGCATGTTCCATGCACATCCCATGACGTCGTAAATGTGTTGACCTGAAGAGGAAATTGAATATAGGAACCCGGTAAGGGAAGGGATAGGCACTCACACCACCCTGGAGCATTGTTCCCGGCTGGGTTACAAGCCCGGAAGCAGAATTGGTCGGCAGCCATGAAGCTCTACAAACTCCGTCAGTACACACCTTCAACAATAGAAATATAGCCCACCGTCCACTCGTGTATCTGCTGGAGTTCTCCGAATGCTGATGAGAAGACTAATCCACCAATCGGGTTACCATTTCCGTCTGCTCCGTGAGGATCCAGCTCTCCTCCGCTGTCGCCGGCTGGTATATTCATCTTTGTGAAGTCACCGAACACCAGTCACTTGAACCTGCAATATTCATGATGATCAGTAAATGTGCGCCTACCCTATAGCTTTGACTTACAAAGTCTGGCGTCTTAACGAAGTGAGCACCGGTGATAGCGTCGGCAGGAATCGTGCGAGTACCGTAGCCCGACTAAAATATGATCAGAATCGATGCAAATCCGTATGTTGGAAAATGATTACCTTGAGACACCACGAAACTTCAATACGCTGTGCAACACGAATAAGCCCAGGCTGCAGTGAATATGAAGTTCATAACGTACCTCAGTCTCTCCGATTCCGGAGTTTGGGCCGGGTTCGGGGGGACTCCAGAGGCAGCTGCATGTGATTTAGATAGGGATGTACCTCGACATGACGGCAACTTACAAGTCATCAATCGAATTAACTGCAGAAAAGTTAGCAACGCTCTGTTATTATGAAAAGTTCACGTACTGTAGGCATTCTGGCAGTTCGACTTTTGGTCGTTTGTTGTCCCGCACTTGTTTGTACCGGCCTGGCCCTGTTCGGAAGTGGCTGGGGCGTTACCCGGCAGATAGGTAGCGGTGTATTGGGCGTAAGCAACACCGGCGAACGAAGAGAGAAGTGCGACTCGGGAGACCATCGTGAATGTGAATGTGTGAATGTGTGAATGGGACTGAGAGAGATAATTTTCTTCCGTCACTGTGCTCTGGTTTAAGTAGGGGAAACGCCACACTAGAAACATTCAACATTGTCTGTGTACGATCGAAACCTCATCAAGACATCTCCACTAGCTTTGACGAAGCGGACTCAAATTCACGATCATATCACTGAGACGAACCCGAAAGCGGCTAGACACTGACAGGCATCCTTGAGAATAGTTGCAAGATCCTTGCCAGTAGTATATCGGATGGGTGCTGTACGATAGAGTGAGCCGGGTCTATTTTTGCAGCATAGCGGTTAACCTGAAACCTACGAGTCCTGAAGGCTAGTACGAGTAATTCCTCCTTTTTAAACGCAGCTATACAGGACTTCATTCTCAACAATACGCTGTATCATGACGAGCGATGGATGGAGTCTTCACGTGCTATCGAGTTTCAGATCTGGAGTAAGAAGCGACGAGACATAAGGAAAAAAGAAAGAGTATCATAGTGAATCAACATACGAGACATCGATAACACGAGTTTCCTACGATTTCGAGAATAGGGTACCTAGGCTCCGACGTCGGCGCTTTCAGACCGTACACACCAGGAGGCGGTATAGTGCAACATTAATGATTCGAGTTTCATCTGACGGAAAGGATGCTAGAGGTAAGAATCTGGAAGGTTCGATACTACTGGACGTATCGGTGGGGAAAGTAAGGTCACGAGCGTAGGGCAGAAGGTCTAAGAATATCTCGGTATCAGTATGGTCTAGCGTCGATTCCCATCTGCCATCCGCTGACGACTTGATAGCGAGAGTAGTAGATTGCGCATACATCCAGTATATCTGAAAACAGGTAAATACCGTACAAACAAGTAGGGCAAACTGGTGACGCACAAGGGGCCGCAGTGTATCCTAATGGGATCCGTCCTTGGGCGCCCTGGAAATAACTGCCCAAGCTCCTTTTTCATCGTGCTTTACTCAACATTGACCTAGTTGCATCCGAATAAGCAAGGCGCGCATATAGTCGGGCACAATCTAGTAGAGACAGATGAGAAAATGTCGACGGGCAAGAGTAGCATATCGCACAAGCCAGGTCACCGGCTTTCGCAATGGGGTCTCTGGATTGCGATACGTCTCGTTATTGTTACTGTATTGGACCTGAAGTGTGGTCAGATTTGCACAGACTAGGCAACTCTAGCTCCTCTGAGAACATCGGTACGCACCCTTCTCAACAGAAGAAAACGACAATGTCTCGACGCGACGCGGACTCCGAAAAGGCGCATATACCCAGCTCTTCAGGCGCAAATCCGTGAGAAAAGAAGGAGCTATCAAAGATAAGAAGCTGACATACGGGGCGTTGTTATCGACAGCCCATTCATGACCGACTTCCTGGGATTCGTCGAGGGTACTTTACATCGCTCTGTTACAACATTCCTTCCGAAGGTCGGAGACGCGTTTGCTAGGCTGATAAGGAATTTTTGAGAGTTCAACGTTCAAGGCGGATCCATCGAAATACCAAAAAAATCACCTGATTTCAGCGTAGAACATGCAGGCATTGAGGAGAGTGAATGCTGGATACGGTATGCACAACGGCGCGATGATGGGAGTTAGAGTCAACGTGCGCAATGACCAAACAAACAAAGCATCTCTTCCTCTTACTCCCATCACCTCACATCAGGGCATTCTTTTCCCGACGCGTCCTCGCCCTGCACTGGCTGTTGTTATCAAGAGCCTGAGAAGGCTAGGATAAGCTTACAATAATAGTCTACGAGCCCGCGATAACAAGGTGCCGAAATGCTCTTCTAGATCGCACAGAGAAGCCAGCCCTTACAGTATGGATACAGAATGGAT